AATTTTCAAGTTTAGGCATTTAAATTTCTATGTAATAGTTTTCTAATTTTATTAATTTTAAAGTTCGTAGAATTTCTTACCACCCTCGTCTCTGTACAATCCAATGTCATTTATACCAATTTCACGATATTCAGTAAGATTATATAGTATAAAAAGACATATGGCCAGAGAACACTGCAGAGTTCAATGATTCCATTGTGATGTCAAAGTGGTCATTAGAGTTTTTAATCCATTGCTCGTCATTATGAATGAGTACTGATATTTAGCATTCATAATTATGTTTTTCTCTACATGTGTTGTGTCTGAATATTGGGTGGCAAAATCCATAGCATTCTTGAAAAGTTCTTTTGATATCGATTGGTAGTAATTCTCAATATCAAACTGTATTAGTGTACAATTTGGTTTCTTGATATTAGTCAGCCAATTAGTAACTTTGGTATTTTATCCAAAGTTTTAATCCTAGGTAATCCTTTATTTGTTGTTGACCCTTTCTAGGATTTCCTTACTAATTCTGCCGATTTCAGGTCCGGTTGGACTGATAATTCTTGTAGTCGGATTAGCTTCGAAATCGGGTTAATGATCCATTATGATTATGTAGCATTCTTTTTCGGTAAGTTTACCTACCCTATCACTAATTTTCAATTTATCTGTGATTTTTTACTAGTAATATTAATGTTTTCCATCATATTTATGTAATTATGACAAGCCTTTTTATAGTTCTTATTTGAATATTTTTAATTAGGTTGTTGTACTCCGTTGGTGTTTATTTATAAAAATTTCCTGTTTTATCCGATTTCATTAAAATTTTATCAGTCGCATTAATATCTTTCATTATGCTCTACATATATATATATGTACATGTATATGTATATCTATATCATATATATGTACATGTATATCTATATCATATATATGTACATGTATATCTATATCATATATATGTACATGTATATCATATATATGTATATGTATATCTATATCATATATATATGTACATGTATATATCATATCATGTATATGTATATCATATATATGTATATGTATATCTATATATATATATATGTATATGTATATCATGTATGTATATCTATATCATATATATGTATATGTATATCTATATCATATATATGTATATGTATATCATATAT